TGGCGTGGACAGTTCGGTGGACCCGGTCGTGGGAGTGTGGTTTTTGATGGGGGGGGGGGGTGGGGGGGGGGGGGAGCACGCAGCGAAGAGGGGAAGAGGGTACTTACAGTCGTTATGCCATTGACCTCGCATCGCTACAAAGTCTGGACGGAGCACGCCGGGTTCTCAGCGGACCAGGCTGTCACATCACCAAGCGCGAAGCACCGTGAGGTATTGGGGGCAGAAAAGCGGGAGCCAACAGACTTGAATAAGGGGTTGCCTGCACGTTGCGCGTAGGTGGCCCCCTCTGGTTGTGCCTGCCATTTGCAAAAGGCGCGGTGGCTCATATTCAATCACACACGCCCACACCCCGCCCGAGGTCAAAAGTCTAACGACTACGGCATGCACGACTACGAGTATCCCCCCTCCCTCCCACCCCCCACGAAAAGCGTACTTCATACATACCGTGGATATCGACTTTGGCCCGTCTAAAGCGGCGAGGACATTGTCGAGCCCCCCCTTCTTCGCTCCCGCAGCGGCAACGTGCTCCGCCGACCCTGCCGTCACTTTTCGCTTGACCCTGCCATGACCACGGTCAAGAGAAACAACAGCAACAGCGGCAGCCGGACATGAGTGCCCCTCGCAGTGACGACTCTACCAACCGCGGCCACACCACTCCTCCGTCAACGACAAACTCGCCGCCCCCAACCTGTACAAAACAAATACTAAATGCATCAACCAGCGGTCATATCCAGCCGGCTGGTAGCCTGGAGATTTTCCGGCGACCGAGTACTGTAGGTCGGTGGTTCGAGTGTCGGAGAGGAGTAGTGAGTGCTACAAGCAGTCAACATCTAGTCGATACCACTGATTGAAAAGCGCTTGTTCGTGAGTGCAAGCGAGGGAAGGGGCTAGCTGAACCGTTCGTTCTCCTCGTTAAAGACAAAAAATGACGGCGTAGGCTGCGGGCGACTTTCGCTTGTGCGCCCCTTCCAAATCTCGGAAGACAAGAGCGTAGAGTTGAAAAAAAAAAAACGACGAACGCGATGGTCCACCAATGGGATTTCATTTCTCTGTTCTTGTATTTTTTTTATTAAGAGAGTAGACGGGAATGGCCGCAGACGTGCCCGTAATCTCGGCGGGCCGCGGGTTACGCTTCAACGCGGAGCGACGGTTTCAGACTGAACCGTCACTCGCGAACAACGCCCTACTACTGCCTTGGAAAACCAACCAAGACAACAGCGAGGCGGGGAAAGCAAGCACGTGAGGTGTTCACGACGAAACAAACCACTCAAACAAACCACTCACACGATGTCCTTTCCGGCGTACTTCTTAACCTCCGTCACTTCCACCTTCCGGCTGGCCGCGAGCAGCTTCTTTCGCGCGGCTCCCTCCGCCGCCCCCACCCGCCGCTTGCCCTTGCCGGCCCCCGACACTATGTCGGACGCCGCCTTCTTGCCGAAAATCCCGGCAAGAACCTGCGTTCCGAAACACGAGACGAGAGAGGGTATCAACGAGACATGTGTGTATTCGAGTGGCGGTTGCGACATCAAAACTCGACCAACAGACAAACTCGGGGGAGGAGGTGTTGTAGCCTAGAGGCAGAGAGGGGGCACAGGCGAGTTGGAGGCAGGAGGGGAAAGTCGGTGGTAGGTCACTGCTCGGAACGATTTCTGAATAGCAACGCAGCGGTTGCAGCAGCTAAAGCCGTAGCTGAAGCAAGCAGCCCAGTCGTCTAGCAGCGAACGGTAGCAACGTAGCAGACAAAGCCGAAGCCGAAGCCGTAGCTGAAGCAGCAGAAACCAAAAAGATGCAGCAGCAGCGGTAGCGAACACGTGGTGCCTTTGGCAGTTCAGTAAATCATGTGGCACATGCACCGCCTCGGTGTTTCGTCTACTCCAAACCATCCCCAAACACGGCAGGGTGTGTTCATCGCCTTGTTTCGCCTACTCTAAACCATCTCATCACATTGTTTCGCCTACTCCGAACCACCCTCCAACATTCTCTAACATGGCTACGTGTTTTCTTCCATCACCTCGTTGGCCTTCTTGTTGGCCTTCTTTTTCTTCTTAGTCGCCTTTTTCCCCTTCCCCTCGGCAAGTCCGGTTCCCGATCCCCCCGCCGGTGGCGCCGTAGCTTCAGCCCCGCTCGCGTTCATGCTTGCCCAGATATCGTCGATCTTTGACCTCTGCCGATCGCTCGTGGCCACCCCCATCGTATCTTCCGGCTGGGAGACAGCGACGGCACAAGGTGGGGGTCAGCTAAGAGGTTGTTTCCAGGCCGTACAGTGAGCTGTTAATTTCTTCTAAGGATCTGCACGCTGTTGATATTTTTGAAGGATCTGCATTGCATCCTGAAGAGTTTGTGTGCCATGTCTCCCCGTCACAAGGCCTGCCGTTAAGACCGAAAAGTCTGCTGCTTTGTGTCTTTGCCTCAAAGCAGCGGCACCGGGGCAATGAGGAAAAAGAAAGGACGAGGAAGACTACATGTAGCTGGCGTGGGTGAAGCCGAATTCCACGTGTCGGTGCTTCGGCAGATGGTGAACGATACCAGACCAAGGCGCACATACTATGCTTGTGTTCAAGTTTGAACCTTTGGAATATACCCAGGGGGACAAGAGGTCACCAGAGCTGGCTACGAGAAAAACAAGTCGATACTAGCATCCTGTAGGGAGAGGCGTCGGGATAAAGGGCTGCGGGCGCTAGGTGTAGCTTGCCGGGGCCACTTCCACAACCAGCCTGGTAGCGTTGGACGATTCCATCGGCGACCGAGTTGGCTGAGGGCCTGTAGCCTACATTCGCCTAAACCGTAGTTCTTCTCGCCCCGCCCGGCGTAGGCTCACGACTCTACGGTATCTCTGCTTGCACCGCCAAATTGGGGTACAGCAGTACATTTAGGGGGCTCGCCAAATACGGGGCCGGCATGTGCCCGCAGAGGCTACCAGCACTATTCGGAGAATGAGACAAATTGATGGTACTGTATACGCTTCGATCCGTGCCGAGCGATTTCGACGCTACGTAGCGAGCCCCCCTACATACCGCTGTGCCGCTGCAGCCAACAACACCCCAGGGGGATAAACGGGGCCACATGGCGACCTTGCAGTTTAGTCTGCTGGATCCATTCGCCTGACTCCCAAAACTTCGAGGGCAAACGCTGCTCGGCGACACTACGAGGACAGCAAGCAACCCATGACGTCGCGCGACCTACAGCAGTACCGCTCACCTCCTCGACCTCGTCTTCCTCCTCATCGTCCCCGGCGGTTTCGTCTGAAACGGCACAGACAACAAGACAAGCAACGGCGGTGCAGCGGTGCAACACAGGCGTCACCAGTGACACATCGAAGAACCTACAATCCCTATTTACTACGTTTGCCTAAGGGGATACATTGGAATGATCGGCGTGAGAGGCCTTGCTCAGGAAAACACCACACAACTGTTTCACGCGGGAGAAAGAGTTGTGATTGCTGTTGCTGTTGCTGCTGTTTTCACATTGAAAACCGTTCCGATCTCTGTGTATCCAGTACCGCCCTCTGTCCTTGCTGATCTCACACTTGCGAGAGGCTGAAGTCTGCGTGTTCTCTTGGTACAAGGTTGTCATGTTGTCATGGAAGTGCCCAACATGCCATGTGGTACATTTTTTTTCCTACAAGAGTGGTACTCGTTCGTGGTAGCGATTTGTAAATACTCATCATTCCTGTGTTCAACTTACGCTGGCGATCAGCTACTGCTTGCTGCGGTGGTCTGGTGTGTGTAGAGCCAAGTGTTTGAAAATGCGATCTCCGCCTTTCCCGGGTTGAAACGTTGTTATCCATTTTGTACCAACGTTTAGATCGGATGGACCAATGAAAAAGGCACGACAGCAATGTAGATTTTGGCTTCCCAGAGCAAC